TTCTATTCTCAGACACCAATCCAGAACATTAATCTACTTGTTTATCTGTCTGTTAATTTTATATACCTAGATTATATCCATTTTAATCTCCTTTTTCTTCATTCTGTAGTTGTAGTCATTACTCCCTTAACCCCCCTTGTTGTGGTATAGCACTGTATTACACCTTTTCTGATTTCTTCACTGTCTTTCCGCTGAGCATCAATTTTTGTTGATCCCTCTGTTGTGGCTAATGCAGAAAACAGTATTATTTTTCTTTTTATCTCTGAGGCAAATACATTTATTTTTGGTTGAATTTATAATGTTGTTAACTTTCCTAAAGACTTCCTGACAGAAGAGCAATAAGGAATGTGAAAAAATTTAGAGATAATAAGAACCAATTGGATTAGTATGTGCTTTTTCTCATTTTTCACTTCTGTTCAAGGACCCTGTTCCTCTAAATTGGTCCTAGACCAGTGGTTCCAAACCTTTTTATGCCCAAGACCACTTTCAGAATTTAAGGGCAACCCAAGCTCCAAGACCCCATGCACCCCCTTCTGCACCCCGAGGCCCTTCCGAGAGTCAGCACTCCCTTCTGTACCCCTGAGACTGCTCCTAGAGACAGTAGTTCCTATTATACCCCTGACAGCCTTCCCAAAGCAAGCACCTTCTCCTACACTCCTGACCCCCCCATCAGAGCTCGTGCAGGGGTGCAGAAGGAGATGCTGGCTCTGGGAGTCTGTGGTGTGTGCTCCTACAGAGTGGCACTTACAACCGGCGGCTACAGGTTGCTGGTGCAACAAGGCCGAGGCAGGCTCCACGCCTTCTCTGGCCCCATGTTAAAGTCCTGCATGGATACAAATGTCTATATGCGGGTAGATATCAGTATCTGCTGACACACAGGGCTTTACTCCTGGAGATGCTGCAACCAAAAGAGAAGAGCATGTGCCACTGCTCCCAGGAGCCAACACCACAAGATGACATCTCCTCCTAGTCTTGTGGCTGTATCACTCCCAGCCCTACTAGCAGCGGGGCTATACGATCCCGGACAGCTGATGTGACTGGGAGTGGGGCAGCTACATGGCTGGGAAGAGCTTCCAGCTTTGCGGGGGGGAGGGGGTGTGTGTGGAGCTGGCTTTTGAGGATGGCGGCACTGCATTCCTCTCCTTTGACCACAGCGTCTCATAGAAGCAGAGTCCTGTGGAGCAGTGGATACTGATTTCTAGCTGCAGGAGAACTTTTGTATCTGTGCAGGGCTCTACATGCTGCTCCCAGAAGGGGCCAACAAGCCCTGGTGGCCTCGGAGGTGGAGGTTGAGGGGGTACATGGCTCCACATTCCGCCCCTCTCTGCTAGTACAGCCTCAGTCAGCTCCAGTTTGCCAGTTTCCCATTGTTGGCTAATGGGAGTTAGGGGGGGGGGGACAGTGCTTGCAGTCAGGAGCAGTTCGCTGAGGCTCCACTCCCCGTCTCCCCCAACACACACATAGGGCTACACTGGCTACTCCCAGGAACATGCAAGTGCATGGGGCCAGAGCAGGCAAGGAGCCTGCTGAATGCCGTTCAGGATCAACCAATTGATCCCAATTGACCGGATGATTACCACAATCTTAGACTTTTCTACCTGTGGGACTCTGCAGTCATTCACTAAATATGATACTACCCTGAGTTTCCCACAGCTGAGTCTTCTTTAGACCTAGTATCAGGGATTTTTTATATGTTCTTCCCTTGAAACCTGAATATGGTTTTCATGTAGACAATGTGTTTTTGCATATTGATAATTTAAACCACGATGTAATACCTGCATTTCATCTCAGAGAGTTTGTTGAATTATTATAAGCTCCTTATTCTAATTTGCAGAGGAGTCTTGTATGAGATTTACATTTTTTGTAGGTATTAAAGTACTATGTTGTATTAGAGATGTTAGCGTGTAGTCTTTTACATGATTAACCGATAAGACCAGGCTTATTGGTTAATCTTAACTGTTTCATGCACACACACACACCCTTTGCTGCCTCTGATACCTGTGGGAAGCTGGCTTAAAGCTCCTGGAGCCACCTGCCTTCATCTCTCCCCAGCTGCCTCCCACAGAGGCAGCAGTGCATGAGGGGGCAGACGGGACGGGGGGCAGGCTTTTAAGCTGGCTTGCCATGCATGCCGGCTCCCATGGAGCAGCCTCTCCCCTCCCCCTGCTGCTTCCTACAGAGGCAGCAGCATGGGGGGCATGTGGGAGCTGGTGCTTGGGGGAAGCTGGCTCCCCGCAAGTATCAGCACGCACCTGCGCTCCCTGTGTGTAAACCTGTAACTGCTAAAAATTTCAGTGGTTTCACGTTTACACAAATACACAAATTTTAACATCCTTACAGTGTATGTTAGATACTTTTGTACAATATTTGCTGAAGCTTTGGGTATATGGTAGTATTATGATTCTGATGTATCGTCAATAAACTTTTGGTTGTTGTGCTTTCCTGTTTTTCTCTGTAATGGGAGAAGGAATATTCTCATATCAATCCTTTTGTATTCAAATTGTGGATTAATCCAACAGAGATTATCCTTTTTTTAAACAAAAAACAATGAAGTAAAAAAGCTTCTGTGTCTCTGAAGGACCAGTGCAGAAATATTTTAAAGATGTTTTTAGGTGTAAAGTTATCCTGATTATTTTTATCAGAAGTTCATTTCTTTCCCTTTTGGGGAATGGCCTTATTTCGTTAAAACATACAGGGAAAATCAAGTCTATAGTTTTGTGCATAATATAGGAGATAGAGTATTCAGTCTCCTCGGCTGTGTCTATACTGGGCCACTTATTCTGGAAAATCAGCCGCTTTTCCAGAATAAGCTGCGAGCTGTCTACACTGACCCTTGAATTTCCGGAAAAGCAACGATGCTCTACTGTACATAATCAGCCGCTATTCCGGAAAAACTATTCTGCTCCCGCTTGGGCATAAGTCCTTATTCCGGAGCACTGTTCCGGAAAAGGGCCAGTGTAGACAGCCCAGTAGTCTTTTCCGGAAAAAAGCCCCGATCGCGAAAATGGTGATCAGGGCTCTTTTCCGGAAAAGCGCGTCTACATTGGCCACAGACGCTTTTCCGGAAAAAGGGCTTTTCCGGAAAAGCAGCCTGCCAATGTAGACGCTCCTTTTCCGGAAAAACTGAAAACGGAATAGTACAGGCAGTCCCCGGGTTACATGGATCCGACTTACATTGGATCCCTACTTACAAACGGGGTGAGGCAACCCCGCAGTAGCTGCTTCCCCCCAGCAGACCAGAGAGACGCGAAGCTAGCGCCCCTCCCCAATAGACCAGGGAGACGCGGAGCGGCTTTTCTCAGCAGACACTTCAGCTTGAGAATAAAGGACTGAGGGAAGTGAGGTGCGGGAGAATAAAACTGAGTTCTGGAGAAATGTTTGGCTAGAGTTTCCCCTACAATATGTACCAGTTCCGACTTACATACAAATTCAACTTAAGAACAAACCTACAGTCCCTATCTTGTACGTAACCCGGGGACTGCCTGTATTCAGTTTTAAGCATTTCCGGAAATTCATGCCAGTGTAGACACAGCCCTCTACTACGAGCAAAGTATGAATGAAGGAAAATCTGTAATTTGGAATTCCTTTCTTGTATTTTATATTTCACAGTTTCGTATTTTACATTTCACATTTTCTTATTTTATAGACTATTAATTACTGTAGCAAGCTCTTAGTGCCTTTCCAGGTTCTGACTATTAGCTGACCAAATGGCAACATGAACTGTTCTGAGCAGTAGCAGACTTTGTCTCTCATTTGTATCTTCTTTTTAGTAACATCATATTTTTAATATAAATCTTTTAAAAAGTGACAGCATTTAGTTCAAATTCTCAGATTGCATGCAGAATGAAAAAGTCATTTTTTCAGTTTGAGAAATATATTCTATTTGTCTATTCAGCGTACTAGACAAACTCCCTTCCCTTTCTTGGGAGGAGACATTTTAGATACAAGTTTTGTGCAGAGCAGTTTTTACAGGAGAGATGTAAAAAAAGAAACATATACCGGAAAGATCTTAAACTGCTGCATTGTGAGGAAAAAAGAAGGGTTATGCAGAGGAATGATTTGTTTGGGAAAAGGTAGTGGAAGAGAAAGCCTTTTATTAGTAGATCACTGATGCAAATTCAGTTATATGTTATTAGGGCCTGAACTTTGCCATTTCATGCTTGTTCAGTGAACTATGTGAGACAGTGTTCTCAGCCCTAGTTTTAGTGCACAGGTATTTGCAAAACCTGTCCCAATTACGCAATGAGCTCTGCATAGAGCTTCATTGATTTCAGTGGTGATCTGCATGACTGGAGGTATACTTTTGTGGAGCTCATTCCAGAGCTATGACCATAACTGACACCTTTAATGTCAATCTCAGTAGAAATACAAGGGACTCAGTGAATTTTAAGATTAATTCACACTTTCCCCTAAGGAGATGGTAACCTCCACAACAGAACTGGGGGTGCATTAATTATTGATTAAGCGAAGGATGCTTTTACTGCTGCAGTCTGTGATTTACACGTTCTGTAAGTAAACAAAGGATATTGGCCAAGGGTGCTAACAGTTTGATACCTTCCACAAGTAAAAATTTGCTTTAAAAAAATTCAGTGTTGCTTATAATTTATGGATATGTTGTATTTTTTTACTGTAGCCTTGGCTTGGTATGGGTAAATATGGAGCAGCAGTAACTGAAATGCTATGAGCTAACTGGGCATCTGTCCAAAATATCATTAAAATATTGACATAGACTAATTTGTTTTTTTAATAATATTTTGTTAAGTGCTATTTAAACAGCTCTGCTATGATTGACCCACATACTCTAGTTTAAAAATTAAGAATTGAGATAATAGTAGATCTGACACTTTTAGTACATGATATTTGCTGCAATGAAGCATACATAGTTTATTTCAGTATGTTAATTTCTGAGACTATTTGTAATAAAAGAGCAACAAACCAAAACAGAGCAAAGAACATTCAGATTTTCTATACTGAATACCTTTTGTTCATTCATTTTCCAGGTTAGCACTGTATGTATATGAATATCTGCTCCATGTAGGAGCACAGAAATCTGCCCAGACATTTTTATCAGAGGTACGTTTCCAATTGTTTTCTTCTCTTTCCAATTTTAATAATGTGTACAAATAGAATAACTGTATGTGTTTTAAAAAATAAAAAAACCCTGTGGTTTTCATCTTATACTGATAAACTTGGATTTTTAAGTCTGTGCTAACCAGATGGTCATAGTTCTTTGGCACAAGGTACTCCCAGCTTCATCCAACAATTCACTGATGAGATTTGTACCCCTTACCTCCCTGTCTTCCGCCACATAAAGATCCCACTTGTTTCCTGTAACAGATATGGCAGTAAGGGAATTCATTATTGTATTAGTACTTATTTGGGATGACCTGAATAACTTACTCATGGTTTCACCATCATTGGAGAATGCAGCCATTCCAAACACATGGCAATGAAATGTTTCCTACTACACCACCATATATTTCCAGACTCTGTCTCTGTTGTATATACACCACAGATAATGTTGACCAAGACTGGTTTCAGTACATATCCTTAAGATAAGCTATTAACAACTTCTCTTAATTTGAAGAAGCAATTATATATTATAACTACTTGTATCCTATTGCTTAACTAATTTTTAACTCCTGATGGTACTTTTGTTTTTATCCCATGGTTATAAATTGTGTTTTTAGAGTCTTCATTAAAGGACTCTGAAACTTTTTTGACAATTCAGGTAAATTAATTTTTTCAGCAACTTTTATCTATGATAGGAAAAAATGTCCTGTGTGTCAGAAATACTGAACTCCTTTTTAAAATCTCTCTTGAACAAGAAAAGAAGTTTGACAAGGGGGAAATAAAAAAGAGCTTGGAAAAATGGCATTGAATAAAGATCAGATAAGGTAATAACTTGGAAAATTTCCATATCTCAAAATCAGTTGTCCCAGGTAAAACAGATCCAAATGGTAATACATTTATTTTATTTATGATAACTTTGAACAGTACTGGATATTTGGCTTTCTGCTGGAAGACTAGAGAAGCAAATTTCTGGTAGAACTTTTTGTTGTTCTTCTAATGCTTATTCATGTGCATTTCAATCAGGCATGTGTGCACACACATGTACAGTAGCCAGAAAATTTTTCCCCTAGCAGCAGGGTTGGTCTTGGTGCCTCCTTGAGTGGCGCTGAAATGGCTGCAAATACAGGCTGCTTCTGACCCATCGTCATCTGTTCCTCTCAATGCGAGTGATGGTAGCTAGAGCTTTCCCTTTCTTGTCTCTTGCTTTGCAAACTGATTAGTGCTTGTCTCATTCTTCTGAATATAGTTTTAAATTGTGTATTCTTCTTAGTTTAACAGTCTTAGTTAGCAGTTAGTTGTTGTAGAATAGGTGTTAGAGTGTTCCCCTCTGCACTGGGGATGTAAGCAACTAATCTACTAGTCGACTATCTGATAAGCAAAAGATTATCGGATAGTTGACACACGAGTTGACTAGTCACTTCCTCCCCACCCCTTACTGCCTCTAATACAAGAAGGCAGCAAGGGAAGACAAGAGGAGAGGTGCTGCTCTGGCTCCATGAAAGGGGGCAGGGGCGCAGTGGTGGCCAACTTCGAAATGTACAAGTGTCTCCGCTGGGGCTCTTGCACATTTCAAAGTTGGAACGCTGCGTGGAGCCTGGGGCCAGAGTGGAATCCCCTGCTGACCCCAGGCTCCATATGGGCACTTCTGCTTTGAAATGCACAAGAGCCCCCGGTGGTGATAAAAGATTATCGGATAGTCGACACACGAGTTGACTAGTCACTTCCTCCCCACCCCTTACTGTCTCTAATACAAGAAGGCAGCAAGGGGAGAGAAGAGGAGGGGTGCTGTGCTGGCTCCATGGAAGGGGGCAGGGGCGCAGCCACGGCCAAGTTGACTAGTCACTTCCTCCCCACCCCTTACTGTCTCTAATACAAGAAGGCAGCAAGGGGAGAGAAGAGGAGGGGTGCTGTGCTGGCTCCATGGAAGGGGGCAGGGGCGCAGCCACGGCCAACTTTGAAATGTACAAGAGTCTTGTACATTTCAAAGCTGGCACGCTGTGTGGAACCCTGGTGAACTCACCTATACCTTTGCTAAGTAACAGTTATTTGGCAATTGAGATTGCATGTTTTGGGGTCTTCACTTACTCTGCTTTACAGGTCACCTACCATACACACCTAGCTTGATTATGAGAGAGTAGCTATAGAGCTGGAAAGACCATGCTGGAAAGGCAGCGATTCTCCATTTGGACAGTACAACAGGGTTCCCCTTTGAACCACTGGCCACTGCCCTTTACTCTACCTTTCCTATAAGCTGGTGTTTCTAGTTGCAATAAACTCCACAAGGAGAGTTTCTGAGCTCAGAGCCCTAATGTCTGAGCCCCTGCATACAATTTTTTATAAGGAGAAAATGCAGCTCTACCCACATCCAGCATTTCTAACAAAGGTTGTCTCCAGTTTCCATGAGTCAGGACATTTTTCTGCCTCTTTTCTACCCAAAGCCACATTCTAGTGATAAGGAGCAAAGCCTCCATTCTCTTGATGTGCGTAGAGTGTTGTGCTTTTACGCTGACAGAACAAGTCCATTTAGAAAGTCACCTCAGCTTTTTGAGGCAATTGTGGATAGCATGAAGGGCCAGCCAATATCCTCTCAATGTATTTCTTCATGGATAGTATCCTGTATCCGTAAGTGTTATGGCCTTGTGGGGATACCACCACCTCTGCTTACAGCGCACTCTATCAGGGCCCAGGCTTCCTGCATTGCATTCTTTGCCCAATTTCCTACCCTGGAGGTCTGCGGGGCACCAGCATAGTCCTCGATACATACTTTTTTCTGCACACTATGTTATTACGAAGCAATCTAGAGACAATGCAGTCTTTGGGAGGGCAGTGCTACAATCAGTGAAGAACTTCAACCTCGCTTCTTAGATTTTGGATTTGGGAGTCACCTAATTGGAATACGCATGAACAATCACTCGAAGAAAAAAACGGTTACTCGCCTTTTAATTGTTGTTCTTCGAGATATGTTGTTCGTGTCCAACATTGTTACTCTGTCAGAGTAGTCGGCAAGAAGGAACTGAGGAGGGGTAGGTTTGGCAGGGCTCTATATTGGCTGTCATTTCAGCTTCACTTCAGGGGACACCAAGACACCAAGACCTACCCTACGGCTAGCTGCTAGGGGAGAAATTTTTTGGCTATTGTGCATGCGCATGCATACACGTCTGATTGGAATGGACATGAACAACACATCTCAAAGAACAACAGTTACAAAAGGTGAGTAACTGGTTTATTTTTTAAAAAAAGAGTGTTTTTAGCAGTTAAGTTCTCTCTCTAGTAAACTGGTGGAAAAATGGTGGAAAAGAGAAAATTAAAAAAAATAACAGGATAATTACTGTTTGCAAAAACAGTGTTTGTTTATAAGAAATACATTTTGCAAGATAAAAAGTTGCTTGTTTTGTTTCTATGGTAGATTTTCGAAGTGAGTGGATGAAAGGAATATTTTGGATGTGACATTTGAATTTTGGAAAAGCTGTCTATATCTTGTGTGGGGCTCCAACAGCAGTTTAAATGACCCAGAGACCCGGACCCTTTTTAATTGCCATACCATGGCACAACTGTTCCTTTCCCTGCCCCCATTGGCAGCCCTGATAAATACTAAGATTGAACTGGTGTGCGGTATCTGGTAAATACTGAAAGAGTCTGTGGGCTTCTTTTATCTTCTTTAATAATGTTGCACAAGAAGAAGTAAACATCACATTGATGGCATTGATAGAAGATACTATATTGTGGTAAATCACAATTATTACAAGATTTAAGTAAAATAAAGTGACATAGAAAGATTAGAGATCAAGGCTGAAAATAATAAAATATGATTCACCTTGTAAACTGTACACTAATATATTTGAAAGGGAAATAATCCAAAACACAGATAAATCAGTGGGGCAGAGAATCCTGACAAGCAGAAATGATGAAAGAGACAAGAAAATGATAGTGGATAGGAGATTAGATATCAATTTGCAATGAAATATGGCTGTCCAAATACCAATTCAGTTTTGGGGTACATATGATGAATCTCTGTATCACAAGATAGACTTTTTTCTATGTACATTTTGTTCAGCAGCATCTGAATCACTGCATTCAGTTCTGAACACCTTGCTATGAGAAATATAGTGACATAGTAGAGGACAATGAGGGTGTGTCTACAGTGCAGGGCTTAACTCCTAATTACGTATCTTATTATGAAATAGCTGATTTTGAAATAGGGAGCATTTACACCCCACTTATTTTGAAATAGAGCACTCTTCCTCTGACTTCCCTTACTCCTCGTACAATGAGGGTTACAGGAGTTAGAGTAAAAAGTCCTCCAGCTTGACAGCATTTTGACACTATTGCGAAATAACTGCCTGCTGTGTAGAGGCAGTCTAAGTTATTTTGGAATAGGGCTAGTTATTTCAAAATAGTGTTGCCATGTAGATGTACCCTGAGAGAAGAGCAAGAAAAATGAAGTGAGCTGGACTGTTAATTTATAAGGGTATGTCTGCACTAGCTTGTTAATTCGAGCTAGGTAGGCAAATGAGGCGACCAGAGTTGCAAATGAAGCCCGGGATTTAATTACAGGCAGTCCCTGGGTTACATGGATTTGACTTACATCGGATCCCTACTTACAAATGGGGTGAGGCAACCCCGTACTAGCTGCTTCCCCCCAGCATACCAGGGAGACGTGAAGCTAGCGCCCCCCCCAGCAGACCAGGGAGACGCAGGACGGCTTTTCTCAGCAGACACCTCAGCTTGAGAATAAAGGACTGAGGGAAGTGAGAGAATAAAACTGAGCTCTGGACAAATGTTTGGCTAGAGTTTCCCCTACAATATGTACCAGTTCCGACTTACATACAAATTCAACTTAAGAACAAACCTACAGTCCCTATCTTGTACGTAACCCAGGGACTGCCTGTAATTAACAAGCTAGTGTAGACATACCCTAAGGGAAGAGGAAGGCATAGATTCTCCACCATACTTTGTCCTTTTTGTTTTTATTCATAGGTGCAATGAGACTAAAAACCCTCCAGATCAGGCCAAATGAGGATTCTTATGCTGGAGAGGATTTGCAGGCTAAATAGGAGGCATTGCTTTCTTTTCTGGTTCCAATTTAGGAGGCATGGCAGGAGAAAAAGGCATGGCTAATGCACTCATGTGTTTTAGCAGTTCCCATAAAATATAATAGTCCCTGTGGCTATTCAAAGTCAAAATAATTTAGAACAGTTGTGAGGCTAAGAATTTGTCCTTAAAAGAATGAAATGTCTATAACTTAGCTAAGGGTGACTAACTGTCTATAACTATTTAAAGAATGTATACAACAATGATTGAGAGACATTATTTAAAGCTGTACAAGGAAGTGGAACTATTAAGTATTAGGACAAAATTGAGAAAGGGAAATTTAAAAAGGATATCTGGATATTTGACATTGTAATCAGTAAGTCCTTAAAATAATGTCTTAAGGCATAGATGCAAACTCCCAGCCCAGGCACCAGTCCTGACTGGAGTGATTGTGCATTCCAGCCTGGCACTCTCAGCAGGCCGGGTGGGGAGCTTGTCTGTTACCAGCCTCATAGCCCCTCCCCTTCCCACCATCGCCTTGTGGGGGAAGAGGATGGGAACTGGGTGGATGTGCTAACTACACTCTGCTTGCTCGTGACTCCTCCCGCTGTGGCAAGTGGGGTGTGTGTGTATGACCACTGATGCTGTGCAGTGCCAAGGCCCCACCAATGATCCTTAAAACCATATGCTCGAGAGACAGGATGTCATGGAGGGAGAGGACATGGTGATGGGAAAGGACGGAACTTGGGCCTGGTAACAGACAGGCTCCCCTTCCCACTAACCTTCTCAGGAATCCATCGGAGCTGGCCCACATGCCAGGAGCTTGAGACTCCTGTCCTAAGGATTTTTTTTTAAGCTCTCCCAGATTTTGTGATATGATGTTCTTTAAAGGATTTTTTTTTAAAAGAACTGAGATTCACAAGCCATTAAGTCCTAGAATCTCCTTAGGTTCTGTCACAGTATGGTTGCTAGGTATTCGTTTTCCAACCGGAACTTCTGGTTGAAAAGTAACCCTGATGGCTCAGGTTGACACTGCCGACTGACCTGTTAAAATGCCAATCAGCGGCACAGTGGGGCCTGGGGCTAAGCAGGCTCCTTACCTACCCCAGCTCCATGTGGCTCCTGGAACCAGTCATCAGGTCCCTGTAGCCCAGTGTTTCCCAATTTTATTTGGCCACAGAACTCTTTTAAATGCAAAATAATTTTGCAGAAACCCCTAATAACAGTCATATATGGAGCTGAAAAAGTAGACCACAAATAAGTAAGGATAATAATAAACAAATGCTAAACAAGGTCATTAGATCAACATTTAGTTTAATTGCACATATTTAAAAACAAAAATCACATTTAATGTGTACAGTTTTTTTTAAAAAATAATAAAATATTACTGTAATGGAATTTTCTCACAGAACCCTTCTTTAATCTTTAATTCGAACTACCTACTCCATGCCGCGTGTAGCTGCGGGCACGGAGTTCGGACTAAGGGGGATTTAAAAATGGCGGCACCCGGGAACATGCAAATGAAGCCCGGGATATTTAAATCCCGGGCTTCGTTTGCAAATCTGCTTGCCCTAATTACCCTACCTAGCTCGAACTAACGAGCTCATGTAGACATACCCTAAGGTGTTGAATATCAGTTACCTCTAACACTACAATGTTATTATCTGGTTAAACACTAGTGCAATTTGGACCTGGAGGGAAGACTGGAGGGAAGACTGCCACCTGCTATGTCATTAAGATTACTCTTGTAGCATCTTGAGTTTTTCTTAAAATTCTCTGACTCATGTGCACTGTATATAATTGTATTGGCATTTTAAATGTATAATTTTTAATTTCTCTCTTATTCCTGTACAGTTATACTTAGTAAAACATCTAGCAGAAGTGCAGAATGATAAAAATTGTAGTACCAATCAGAATGTTAAAAACATCATAAAACATGTCTAAAATAGGTTTTCTGCAAAATATATGACAAATGCTGAGTACATGGTGGTAAGATATGTTAAGTTATGTGGCCATCCCAAATTCCAGATGATACATACTTTTCCAACTGCTTGATCATGTATTTTCTTTTCTATCTTAGTAGCTTAGTTAACATATCTTGTTCAGACTGAATGGAAAAGCATAAAATACTTGATTTTTGTTCCTTTTAGATAAGATGGGAAAAAAACATCACATTGGGGGAGCCCCCAGGATTCTTGCACTCTTGGTGGTGGTAAGTATTAATAATTTTCTTTCCTTCCACTTAAAGAAGGTTAAGAGGGAGTCAAATGACTATGCTTAAAACTGCAAAGAAAAGAACAGTACAATACTAAATTTTCATCTTTTTTTTAAACTGACAAATTCTTTTTTATGGAACTTTTTGAGGTATGAAAGAAATGTAGATGAATTTTCACCAAGTTCTTCAAGAATAGTTGCTGTAGAAAATAATTGAAGAAGCAATTAATAACAATTGAATCTCCTAAAAATCATACCCAAGAAACATAGCCATATTTTTTTTCTAAGAAAGTTCCAAGTTGAAGTCTTAGCCTGTGGTATTCTTCATTTCAGTTGTTTTTCCAAAGCCTTGTTTTGTGGAGAAAAAGAGTGTATTACAAAGTTAATGGTGTTAGTACATTATATTAGAACTGGAACAGGTTTTGATACTTTATTTACTATGATTCATGCAGTAAATTATACATTTAAAATAAGTTTTCATATGAGAAAAATATATTAAAATACAAGCAGAGATGATCAACTTTATCCTGTCATAAAATATACTATCCACATTACTCCTCGGGGTCCCAATTCATTATAGTACTTAAGCAAATACTTAACTTGAAGCATGTTCTTAAGTCTCATTGAAGTTGAAATATGACAAGTATGTTCTTAATTGCTTTGTTAAATAGGGCTGGACTTAAGCCAGTGTACAAGGTGACTGTACAAGTGTGTTATGGGTAGGCCTGATTAGGGTTCAGGAGATATATAAACAGTCTTGGAAACAAGTCAGAAATATGGATAAGTGGATGTGGACACTTCAGAGCCAGAGGAAGAGCTAAGGAGTACCCATATCATCCTATATAAGGGGCAGGGAACTGGGAGAAAAGTGAGGTTGAAGGAACCCAACTACTTCCAGAGTGGGAGAGGGAGTACCGCCAATGTTCATGAATGCAGGGGTGAAGGAAGGCCACAGAGAAAGGCTTTGAGGCTTTGTGGCCACTCCCATGTACAAGGAACAGGAAGCTGGAAAAGAACACAGGAGAGATATGAGATTTTATTAAGCACAGGGTGGGTGGACACTCTACTAGGGATAATGGGAATAAACCAGGAACCCTCCATTTGAAGGGAAATTGGAGACTGAAGAAGATTTGAAAGTGACAAAAGACAACAGAATGGGTTGCCAAAAGAGGTGTTTTGAATTATGATCTAGGACTTTAGATTATGTCTTTGAGATATGTATAATAATAAATTACTTTATGACAAGGCAGTCAAATCAAGAGAGTGGTATAGCATTTGAAGGGTCTCTGATGGGTGGAACTGATGCTGGCCATCTGTGGGGCACCTATATGTCACTACAAATTAGTTAAGGAGGGCCTGGCTTGTTGAACACACACTTAAAGTTTTCCACACCATTAAGTTTTTTGCTGAATTGGAGTCTTTAACATCTACTGCTGATATCTACATGGTCAAATCAATAAGGAAGCTCATGTTCATTTGGAAGAATTCTATGATGTTGGCTTACAAAGTAAATATCTATTGTGTTGGCTTATATCAAATAATTATGTATAAGGACAGCATCTCTTGTGCAGGAAGCCCATTACCTCCGATAGGTATGCTACATGAGTGCCCTATACTTTTTCACATATGATCACCCTTACTATATCAACCGGAGTTGCAAATGAAGCCCGGGATTTGAATTTCCCGGGCTTCATTTGCATATAGCCGGGCGCCGCCATTTTTAAATGTCCGCTAGTGCGGACTCTGTGCCCCGCGGCTACACGCGGCATGGACTAGGTAGTTCGAACTAGGCTTCCTATTCCGAACTACCGTTACTCCTTGTGAAATAGGAAGCCTAGTCCGAACTACCTAGTCCGTGCCGCGTGTAGCCGTGCGGCACGGAGTCCGCACTAGCGGACATTTAAAAATGGCGGCGCCCGGCTATATGCAAATGAAGCCCGGGAAATTCAAATCCCGGGCTTCATTTGCAACTCCGGTTGCCTACATTACCACCCTAGTTCGAACTAGGGTGGTAGTGTAGACATACCCTGAGAGACTGCAATGATTAAATATCTCGACCTCTATCTGTAAACACTTTATTTTATTTAGTTAAAACAGCTGGCTAAATCCTGTTAAAAGAGTTCAGAGGCAGAGGAATATAAATTGTATTTTAACACTATTTTGAAATACTGCTACCTTTCAAAGTGTAAAAAGGCTCTGACAAGGACATCAATTTTTTCCCACTATTTATAAGCCAAGACCTATATCATGATATTCTTTTCCACTTCTGATATTTACCCATATACAGGAAACCTTTGCCATTTGCAGGTTTGCTGTCTGTGGGTTTGCATATTCAGGGTGTGCTGCCCCGTACCAGCCCAAACATATGATGCATGCTTTTTCAGTGTCCGCTAGTAAAGGAGCCTGACAGTTAAAAGGAAAATTGAAGTTGCAATGATGCAGTATCTGGAAATTTTAGATATTACATTTGTTTATTACATTATTACATGTAAATATTAATATATTGCAACATTTTATGTGAAAAATTGAATTGTTTTGTTTTGGGAACACCCTCCCCAGTATTTGTGGATTTTACCATTTGCTGTGATCTCAATAATGTATCCCCCATCAATGGCACAGGCTTTCTATATATGCTACTTTATTGTCTTTTGGTTAAGGCACAGTACAGTGACTTAGGTGATCTAGGTACTATTCCTGTTTTTTCCTGCACAGTTGTACTGTGTGATTTTGGACAAGTTTTAGCCTGTGCTGTGTAGTGTTTTGTGAAAGTTAATCTAGGCACATACAAAGATATGAGGTTAATTCAGAGTTCCAAGCTATTCTGACAGTTTGTGCACTAACTTCCAGCAGTGCTGATATTCTTGAATTAAACTATAGTAGCCTTAATGGGACACACGCCTCAGAGACTCAGAAGATTCTTACCTTACCTCGCAGATCATCCATCAGGCCTAATTCATTAATATATAGAGAGTTTTGAGATCTTTGGATGGAAGGTGATCTATAGATATAGTTATAAGGTCAATGTATTATAAATATTTCTTTGTGTTTTTATAACTAATTATTTTTAACTTGTAGTGTATTTTGGGATCTCTACTGTGCAGCTCCAGAAAGACGAGAAACATGTGAACATTCAAGTGAAGCTAAAGCCTTTCATGATTATGTAAGTTATATATCTATCTATCTTACTGTATTTAGTTTATTGTATGGCTGATTATTATATTCAAAGGAAAATGTCTGCGCAGTGGTGATTCAAAAAAAGAAGGAATATCTGACTTACAGCTTTCTGATCTCAAATACTCAGATTTGCTTTCCATAGATGCCTTAGAACAAGAATGTTGTTTGGAAATTTGCATCCTGAAAGGAAGTAAAATCCTCAGAATGTCCTTTGACTTTTTAAAAAAGCAGATCATGTTACAATATTTATACTAGGTATTATGAAGTGAGTTAAATACAAGGGGATGAATTATCTGACCCAGCAGAGCAAGACAATGGGAGGAATAAGGAGAAAAGGGAGCAGGGGAGGACTGTGTGTGACTTTTGAGGCCCCTTTATTCTGCTTCTGGCACAAGCCTGATGGCACATCTACATTGCCAGGAAGATCAATGCTGCAGCAGTCGATCTTCTGGCGTTTGATTTAGCAGGTCTAGTAGGGACACACTAAATCAAATGCTGAAGGTACCCCTATTGACACTGGTGCAGCTCACTGTCACGAGGAATAAGGGAAGTTGATAGGAGTGTTTCTCCCATCAACTGCCCCTAGTGAGGATGACATCCTAGCTCAGCTCAAGGTATGTCGACTCCAACTACGTTATTTATGTACCTGGAATTACATACCTTAAGCTGACCTTCCCCCATAGTGTATACCTGCCCTCAGAGTTGGTCAAAGTTACCTTGCTTTTCTGTGGCCCAAAAGAGCAGTGCCGGAAGCTGGGGTATCTGGAATGCAGCACTTACATTCCTTTTTCTCCCGTCACCTCCCTTATGTGTGCGGGGGGAGGGAAGGGAAGAGGAGGGAGGCTGAGGAGAGGGAGTAGAGCTGCTGTTGCAGTTCTACTTCATCTGTGTTTATGATATCCTCAGAAGGCTGGCTAAGAGGGTGCTATGGCCCCTGTGTGCCTCCAGGTGATACAAAGAGGCTGTAAGTGGAGCCAAAAATCTGGCCAAGGTATTAGTCTTAAAGCATGAGTTTCTTTAGTCTTTTTTTCAGTTTGTCAGACCATTAATTTCAGTTAAATTTTTGTGTGAAATTATATTTTCTGACATAATGGTGAAGTAGACAGATTGTTTAATAAGCATGAATTTGGCAAAGTCTGGATGGATCAGAAGTTTGATCGTGAGTTTAAGATCCTTTAATTTCTGTGTTACCCATTTGAATCCTGCATATTGTCCCAAATTGTTATCATTTGACGACTATTCAGTATCTTACAGTATTCGAACTAGAGGTGATCTTGGTTCCATTTCTAGTTGGCAGGAGACTGTGTAGAAATTAGCACTAACTAGCATCTTCTAGAAAAAGACCAGGGACTATGTAGGCATTATCCTAATGTCACCCCTTTAAATTGTCCTTTCTGGTTATGGTTGTGGATAGTTAGCAGGACAGCATCAATAATTTTGCACAGCAGCTGTCCATACTGTACTTGTTTTTGGAACACATAACAGGGCAATGGTCTTCAGAGCTACCATGGAGCTCGTGGAGGAAAAAATTGCGGCTCCTGCCGGAACTGGGACGAACCCAGAATGGCTCAGGTCAGCCGCTCTCATGGCTGGGCTGCTCTGAGCCGCATGTGTGCTCATGGCCCACGCCGTTCTGCTCATGGCCCGCAGCGCACTGTATCATATCCTGCACATGCAGGCCGAGTCAGTCTCACTCAGCGTCCAGCCTGCATGTGCTAGCAGCCTGCCACTGAGCACTGGCACCGGCAGCGGTAGTGCCTTCAGCTTCGGCTCCAGGTGCAGCGGTGCCTCCAGCTCCAGGACCTGGGCATAAGGTGGGGAGAGAGGGGGAGGATTGGGTTAGAGCAGGAGGGAGATGCCTGGCTCTGGAAAAGGGAGGGGAGGGAGATCAGGTTGCATCCCGACGTCCTGGCCAGCACACACTCAGAGCCATCCGCTCAGCACATGCGCCCAGCGCCTGGGGGGCTGCAGTGGCGGCTCTGCTCTGGGACCCAGGCATAAGGTTGGGGGGTAGGGGATTGGTTTACAGCAGGGAAGGGAGGTGTCTGGCTCTGGGGAAGAGGAGGAGAGGATTGGGTGTGTGTGGGGGGGGTGCGCATGGCATCCCAGCGTCCCGGCCAGTACATGCTCAAAGCCGGCCGCTCAGAGCACGTACCCCATCGCCTGGGGAGATGCGCATGGTGGTGGCAGCGGCTCTGGCTCTGGCTCCAGAACCTGGGCATAAGGTTGTGGAGATGGGGATTGGGTTAGAGCAGGGTAGGGGCCTGGCTCTGGGGGAGAGAAGGGGAGGAGACTTGGTTTAGAGTAGGGGGAGCTGGCTCTGGGGGCTGGGGGGGGGAGAGGTGAGGAAAAGGTGAGGAAGGGGAGAGGAGGGAGTAGGAATCCTGGTACTGCATGCCAGCTCCTACTTCTCAGGAAGCACGCGGCTGTCATGGGGAGCAGAGGAAAAGCATGCGCTTCCTGAGAAGTGGAAGCTGGCATGCGGTTTTGGGACTCCTACACACACACCCTGCGAGGCAGGCAGCAGGGCGGAGGATGTCCCCGGCCCAGTGACAGACCTGGTGTTTCAGGAAATGCGCCAGGTGTTATGGGAGGGGAAAAGAAGAGAGGGGAGGGGAAGAGCAGCCCACACACTTCCTTAGATCCGGGATCCCCAGGTACCGGTCGAGCTGTCCCTGTCCCCTTACCCTGGACAAACTCCTCCCTCTCAACACCCTGTCCCCTGCCACCTGCCCCAGCATCTTGCTCCGACACTCTGTCCCCTGTCCCCACTGGCACAGTTGGGGCCATATTAGTGAGGTTTGGGGTTTTTTGGAGGGGTTGTTTTTTGCATCTCACTTGTGTAGCCCCGATTGACTTTTCTATGGGTCAATGACCCCTGACTCAAAACAGGTCCCCCACCCCTCATAAATAAAGATAATGCTGAAACACATAGTGTTTGACGTAATATATTATTTAAAAATGAAGCCTGGCCAACAAGCCCCCAATTGAGGCCAAGCCCCCATCTAGCCTCAGCATCATAACACTCCTGCATTCCCCGAGACCCGAAACCTGAACCTATCATACCCTGGAAGCCCCTGTCCTAAGCCTCTCACATCCCCAAACTCCTGCATCCCCACATCCCCAGTCTTCTGCCACAACACTCCTGCACCATCCACACACTGCAAATCTGTGTCCTGAGCCCATCATACTCCCAGTATCTCTGCCCTGTGCCCCTCATGTACCCCAGTCCAAACTCTTGCACCCTCACAGCGACAAGCCTGCAGCTTGCTCAGCACCCGAACCCTCCACCTGACCTCAACACTGTCCAGCCTGGAGCTCCCTCCCTGGAATGGTGTACCGCACCTATTTTCTCCCAGCACGGCTGGTTGGTTGGTTGGGGTTTTTTTTTGTACAAAAACTTTCTGCCCTGGTATGTGTCTCTTCGCACTCTGTCCACTGCTATTTTGGCTCTATGACTCTAACGGGTTGGCCACCCCGGTCTAGACTATGTCCAGGGAATGTGTCTGTTCTTCTGACATTTTTTGCAAAAGAGCAGACGCACTCTTTCAGAAGCCCCGTCTTCCTCGTTTCATGAGGAAGAAGGGTACTTCCGAAAGTGGAGGTTTTTCCGAAATTTGGCTCAGTGTAGATGGGCCAAATTTCGGAAAAACCTCTTCTGAAAAAAGAATTCAGAAAAAGGTATGCAAATTGTGGAGCGCAATTTGCAGACCTTTATCTGATAAAACTCTGTAGTCTAGACATAGCCTCAGTCTGATTGCTCATTTTGCTTTGCCTGGTTTTTGTAGTCATAATTTTAAAAATATCAAAAAAGTAATCAAGTAAGTCTTTTGCATGAAACATATGTGTATTTTTATGGCTAGTCAAGTTACTGTGAACTATGGTCTGATGAAAGTACATCAGGGAAGAAAGAAGTAAGACATGTGGTATGCTCCTATATGTCTGTCAACCAGCATACAACAAGATCTACGCATGTCCTTTCCATGTCAACCTGCTTTACAGTACCTTTTTAATTTGAGATATTTTGAGATTGCTGGAGTGCTTTTTGAAGTCTCTCACCTTAAAAAACAAAAGTAAAAATATAGAGCTTTGTTTTACAGATGCTAGATGTAAAATGACAAGATTAATGGCTAGGCACTATTAATTATTATTATTATTATTATAATAAACTGTGCCTATGTTATAGATGCATTTTGCTATTTCTGCAATTACCTACTATAACTTGCGCTTTCTCATGAAGTATAACAGTGATAATTAGTTGTTGCAAGGTTTTTTTTTCAGTCTGTGTTATTGGGTTGTGTTTTAGCCTTTAGTGTCAGAGAAACGTGAATCTGATGTTTCACTGGTTTCCAGAATTGAAGTTGACTTTCTGTACTTATGATTACGATGTATAACAGGACCAATGCTGTTCTTATGTTTTATGTGCCTGAGCAGCCCCTTTCTGTGATGGGCATGGGCGAGCTTAAACAGCGCACCACTGGTGGGGGTGCTCCAGCAGGGCGCGGCCTGGCCAAAGCAGGGGGCAGGAGCACTCCAGCCTGGCCATAGTAGGTGTTCCAGTCCTACCAGAGCAGCCCCTATCCATGGTGGGCCGAGCTTGGCTGGAGCAGCGCGCTGCGAGTGGAGACACTTCAGCCCAGCTGGAGCAATGCCTTTTTGTGCCCCCATTTATGTGGTTAATCGATTAAACATAATGTTTAACTAATTACATGGGATTTTACATCCCTATTCGTTACCAGATTTGCCCAATACTCTGGGGTATGCTCATTTATCAGGGTTACTCTTATGGGACTGGGAAAAGGTTAACCATTCTATCAGTGTGCTGTTTGTGCTTACTTGTGCTCTCATATGTAGCTGAATTCTCCCTGCTGCTAATTCCCCCTCCCACTAAAGCTCTCCTGCAGGAACTAGGTTCCTCAGGATGGGGTTTGTCCAACCTTAGAAACAAGTGGACACTCACTCCCACTAACAGAGCACGTCTAAGAG